CACAGAACTATACACGTGTTCAGGACCCATGCGCAAGAGCACTGCTCACTCGAAAATCGTATATCAACACGTTATGATCACTACTACTAGATAATTGAAATCGCAAATTTTGATAGTCATTTTTGATAATAAGCAAACACAGTTCGTTTGGATTCATGAACAATAAATAGCAATTATCATTACATACAGATTTCTTTTGTGTAAAACAATCACGAAAAATACGCATGAACTACTTTTATCGAAGGTTACTTTCAATCGAACATTATAATTCAACCAAATTGTAGAAATTAATATAATAATATATCACACGATCGTTCACAATAATTTACTTAATTCATACGCATAGATGTTAAAATTTGCTAATCTCTTATCAAAGGAATCATGTTTCCAGAATCTTCAATTATCGCAAATCATATGAAAATTGAATTTAAACACGATGTAAATGCGCACTGTTAGTTTCATAAAACATTAATCACTTCAAAACACTATGCACGTGACGTGTATGAATTGATTATTCATTTTTCTATTGATTTTAATACAATCACTTTTAAACTGATATCTATACAAATAATTATCAATTAGCTTCGAAAAGAGATTAAAATATTTCACCGCACATTTATGTCAACGAATTCGACTTGCAAAAAAGCATATACTCGCGCTCTTTTCAATCGACATTGATTACTAAACGAAAACAAGGGGCTAATTGAAAGCGCGCGCACGTGCACGTCAAGAAACCATGATCAAGAGATTCGCTCCACTAATTTTTGCAAAGCACAGCACATCTTTCGTTTCGCAAAGAAAGATGCATTTGGAACGTACTGAGTGACACTTGATCGGGCGCCGTTCGTGACGGACTCCTTTTCTCGAGCCATATGGCGTCTGTACTGCTATCAGCGTTCGCTGTGTGCATGTCCGTAATGTCGTTCCTCATCTTCGACGATCAATGGTATTTTTTAGCTTAGCCGAAAATCACATATCGATGAATGCAAAGGAGGACGCAGTCCAGCGAAGAGAGGTTATATACGCGGTGCGTCTACTGATGTGCACTGTCGATGAGACGACACGCGACCATGTTACACGACGAGGAGAGAACAGGCTCAGACGAAAAAGTTATCTCGCTTCGACTCTCACGGCTCGTAGTTTTCACGCTTTCCCTCGACGTTTCACTTTGCCTGCCGACTACAATTATAGCAGGTGGCGCGAAAGAGTTCACCACGCTCGACTCGTCTCTCGGGGGATACATTGAAGGGTAGATAAACGTACGTAGAGGGTATCGTTGACACTGACTACGTACAATGTTTTTTGAACGGGCGTACCTCTGGACCCCGGCGAGGAAGCTTTGCCGTTGATCAAGGTGCTCTCCACCGAGGGTAGCGCCATTTTACGCGGACTTGGCCTCTGTAAATCTCCGATCTCAGGCCGCCCAGTAGGCCATGCCGTAGCATCGAGCTGTCTGCCTGCAGCTGCACGGGACACTAGGCATTCCGCGGTCTAGCCGACCACGAATCCTACGGACCAGAGCGGCACGTTTAGTTTTCCGCGCGGACTGTACACGGCTAGGTACGTGCCAGTATTGTCCTCCACGACACATGACCAGTTCACTTTAACTTTCCATTTTTAGGAATCCATCTGATGTTTGTATTACATTTGATCTTTTCGACGAATCATTCCCTCGAACTCGAATTCCACTTCTTTACATTACCACGATATTTTCTAACAATAAATAACCTTAAAATATTTTTACTGTACTATGTCAAGAATAAAAATACAGAATATTTTAATTTTGCTGAGCGACTCATACTTTAAGCTGATTTTTATCAGTTTGATAACGCGTTGTTAAAACCAGAAAAAGTTAAACTTTTAAAATATTGAAATTTACAATAACACATCTTTTTATT